CCGACGTTTCAGTTCTTCAACCATTTAGAACGTCTCAACTTTTCCGGATGATAAAACTGTAGACGAACACTAAAAACCCCCAAATTGTCGAAGGGTAATCGTTCTTAAAATCGATTTTCTCCGATAATAGTGACTCCTGTATTTAGTCCTCGCGACCAGATCATCATAAAGTAAGATTTTTTTTTCATACCCTGTTACACTATTTTTCATAGTTACTCCTAATTTAAAAAAAAATTGAAATCAACTAGTGCAATGTGTGTTTTGTAAGTAGAATGTCGAATACAAGAAGTTGCCGTTCGTTAGATGATCTCCCATTAGAGATTTTGAGTCGGATTATTGTAGTATTAGGGTCAGAATCTGCGATAGACATCATCTCTGCAAGACTTTGGTAATTCTCAATAAACATCAACTAATGAATGTATATTTGATAAAATACAACTTTATTTATTAGGTATTTACTGTGTATTTAAAATTTTGAAGTTCAAAGAAGATGTATGAAGCGGGGGGGGGGGGGTTGATCCTCAAGTGCTCAGAACAGCATCCCTTGACAGGATTGAAGGAATGGGTCCCAAATATCTGAATGATGACGGAGGAGGAGATGAGCAATCGGATGCTAACAACGAAATGTTAGATATATTTTCATATTCTGGTCGTCATTATGGAAGATTCATGAATAGAATGTTGTTTGATGAGGAAGTGCATGTTGCCCAAACTTACATACTCCTTAATGAAGATAAGATCAAACATTACATCAGGTAAGTAACATATGCTTCAATTTTAATTATAATAATCATTTGTTGTGTAATTGCTCTGAATAACATTTACATGCATGATTTTGTTTATTACATCATAGTAACTTTAAAAATGTTATTCAAATGGTGATACAAAATATTTGAAGAAGATTTGAATGAACTTATTGGGGATATGGATGAATAGGAGCTTGCAGCTGAAGTTCAATAGAACTTTGCAGTATGGTTTCAAAACTATGTGGGTGTTATTTTTGTATTTTATTATTTTTTGTTATGGTTATAATTAACTCTAATTAAGCGTTTTACCATTTTTCATATAGGCACGTAAGATCCGGATAAACAACAAGTATATATCTGGCCTTTCCAAAATGTCATTCAAAAAAGTGAAATTATATAGTGTATACTTTGTCAATGGTTACAAGTTTCACACAGAAGCTCATGGTCTGAACAAATCAACAACCAATAGCAGATTGTGTGTTAGTAGCCAAGAAGGTGATTATTACGGTAAGGTAGACGAAATTTTAGAAGTCGAGTACCCTGGTTACCCAATTAAAACCACAGTTTTGTTTAAATGTCATTGGTACGATCCAACACCTAACATAGGAGTTAAGGTTCACAAACAATATAACTTGGTCGAGATAAACGTCAAAAGAAAATACAACAAGTCCGAGTCGTTTGTTTTAGCCATGCAAGCCACTCAGATGTGTTACATTCCTTACCCAAGTTCGAAAACAAGGAACTCGGATTGGTGGGCTGTATTTAAAGTTAAACCTCATGGTTGGACTGATGAAAATCATCCTTAGAAAGACGTTGCTTTCCAAGAAGATGATGTTGAATGAAATGAAATCATTATACCAAGTACAGCCGATACAGAAAATTATGATGATCACGACATGTCAAGCAGTGGTTCAGATAATGAAAATAACATTGATGAAGAAGGTGAAATTCATGAGGACGACAATGATGGTATTCCTGACAGCGAGGGTAGTTATGAGTATAATACATCGAGCAATGAAGAATAAGAGGATGAAGAAGAAGAGGAGGAAGAAGATATTGACTAGATGTTTTTGTTTCTTTATAAAAGGATGGTTACATTGTATAATTTTTAGTTTTTACATGCGAATTGGTAAATGTGATGTTATGTATTAGTGCCCTTCATGAGAATTAAATAAAATGAAATTTTATCATTCTTTGGTACATTGAAAGCATTTACTAAAGGGGGGTATGTGTTGTTAAGATATTTGTATGTACAATATTTTCATTAAATATTCAATTAAGTAATCGTTTATGTTATAATCCATTTTTTTTAGATTGTAATGCTAAAAAAATATTCAAGATAAGATAAACATATATAATAGCAAATGTTTGTTATTTCCTAGTATTAATTATATATAAAATACAATAAAACAAACAAAATATATTGCCAATTCAAAAACATATCATTCAAACCATATCTTACCATTTCCATTGATCATAATAATAATTCATCCATAGAATATGAAAATTAAGTATACAACATCCCAACAAAGAAACAAACCAAACACACCATCATAAACTTGATGATTCCACGAGTTTTATTTCCGATGCAAATTTCGATAGCTAAATATCAATGAAATTGAACTACTCCTTATCAACGTTGCTATGGAATAAAATGCCGTCACAAATTAGCTAGGCTTTTTGTTTCATAGCAAAACAAGCAAACGAAATCAAATTCCATAACAGAATTCCCTAGTAAATACCTACGAATGGTACTTCCATAGCAAAGCAACTATGGAATTAGTTTCCGTCAAAAAGTCTGTTACATAGTAACCACGATAATTAATTCCATGGCAGCAGTACAACAGAAAGTGATTTCGAAACAAATTTCATTGGAAAGTGATTTTGAAACAAATTTCGTTGGAAAATTGCTACGAAATTTTTTTCTATAGAAATATCGGTAGCATAATACCAGTGGATATGAAGTCGGTAGCATTTTCCCTAGCAAGTCTCATTCTCGCTACCGGAAATAAAATCCGTAGACAATGTGGTAGCAACCTTGCTATGGAACGACATTTCATACCACAATCAATTGCAGATTAACAACGAAAATACGTTATATAGTGACCTTCCCTTGCAAAATCGTGTTTTTCTTGTAGTGATAATTGGAACACGAATGTTACACATGTGACACTTGAGACGATCCGTATCAATCCTGTTGAAGCTAACATGGGCTGTGTCAGCTCTTCTATAATGAAATCTTCAACTTCTCGCTCTACACCCGTTTCTCGCCCAAATATTTTGAAACTTTACCCCGAGCCATTTTATACTATCCTAACATTCGCACACACCTCAAATGACACCAAAAGTGTAGATGTGAAAATGCATCAATAATTGTCCCGAAAACAAATACACTGCATGGTTTGATTCTAAAATGCAATGCAAAAACATGTAACCAAAACTGTTAACAAATTTAGTCATAACTCATTCTAGTGTTGAATCTGATAAATGAATTTTCTTTGTAGTTATAAGGTCAAAAAATGAATCAGACTCAACTATTTAATACTTTCTAACTTTTGAAACTTCTTCGAAAATCATTTCCTTATCTTATATTGATGGTTGAGTGCATAGTTTCATTAACTTAAATTAATTAAAACCTAAACCACTAGCTTTTCATGATGGTAATATGTCGGAATCAAATTTCAATGATAGAATTCCGACATAAAGTTTTTCTTGGAAAAAACGTGTGGGTTAAATTTCCTAACGATTTTGTTTTCATAGTTTACCCTATTATGATGGATTACTGACAACCCACATGGATAATTCGTGTAATTTTGTCTAATATTTTGTTCTTAGATGCATGGTTAATAACTTATGCTGCCATAGAAATATGGACCTCATAGAGGACAACATACAACTACAAAAAATTCAGTTGGAAATATAATTACTTACTTTAAAACATTTTGATACACATTAGAGCATCCCAACGGTGAGCCTTTCTAATAAGTTTATTTATAGGTCTTTACGATATCAATTTATAAAGTAAATAAATAATATAGTTTAAAAAGATACCAAAATAATAGATCCGTTATTGGTCTTTTGACTTTACAAGTAATGCGGAAAAAAACTTTGAAATAAAAAAGATCTTATAATACTTTAGTTTTTATTTGTTTATTTATTTATCTATTTTTACTTCCCGTAGCTAATTTGAGCGCTTTTGAATAAAACCACTACTCTGAATCTAATGAAAATCAATTTTTGCCATATGTCATATTTGACATATGTCATTTTTTAAGAGTTTTTGTATTAATTTTTTTCCATTTGTTATTTTCTTGTATTTTTTATTTTCTTAAATTTAAAATCTAGATTTTGGTGAGATTTATATATGTAAGGTAGATTATTATATTAAATTTCATAATAAATACTCTACAACCTTTCAAATCTTCTACATTATATATTAAATTACTTACTTTATTTATTATATCATTTGTATTTATTTAAAACTATTACTTTAAAGAATATATAATACTTATAATTTTATATTAAACTTTTCTTTATATTACACGGGTCTTACACCTAGTGCTCTTATATAACATTGACTTGTGTGATAAATTTCATCAATTCAGTTCTTTGAATATATACACTATGTGTTCTTAGCATCCTTTTATATTTTTTGGCACACCGTACAAATCTCATGATCCTTAGGTTGTTCTGTTGATGAATGGTAATCCTGTTGGTTGATTTGGAATAATTCTAATTAGCATCTCCTCAAGTTTGTATCACAAGCGCGTGTATTTACTTGAGTAATAACTTGTAATTACCAATTAACACATTTTAGGACATTTTGTGAAACTATTAATACTAACTTCAGTTTATTTCAAGGGAATCAATTGCGACAAAACTTAGCAACCAGTTTAAAAGCTTTATTTGAGAATATTGTGTTTAAATCTTTGATTGATCTAGAGCATCCGATTTGAGTCCTTTGGGTTTGAACTAAAATGCAACAAGCTGAAAAACGTATGTGCTCCAGTACATCACAAAAATTCTGATCCCAAAATTCAGCACATCCAAGTAATTACGGTTTTAGTTAGAAAATGTAATCCGTGATATGAACTCCAACATCTCCTTTTTCCGCTCAATCTCATCAACAGCTGCAACTTTGCCACTAGAGAGCCATTCCTCAGTATCATCAATTGCATTCTGCATCTTCTTCAAGTCCTGTGGGGGCATATAATTTCTCTTTATCTTATTCTTTAAGTCATATATGTAATCCTCCTAGGCATTGTATGCTTCAGCTTTCCTCTTAAACTCTTGGTCCTCAAGCTTGAACTTCTCAGCATCTTTCACCATTTTCTCTATCTCATACTTTGACAATCTTCCACTCAGATTGGTAACAGTAAGGCTTTTGGTCTTACCAGTGGATACTATCTTAGCCGTAACTGTGAGGATACCATCAGCATCTATTTCAAAGCAATGCTCAACTACTGATAGATATGATCGCTTGGGAGCAGGTGGAATCCCTGAAATTGTAAAAGATCCCAAAAAGAAGTTATCAGTAGATCTAGTTCGTTTACCTTGGTACACTTCGATATCTAAACGTGGTTGGTTGTCTTTGACAGTAACAATATTCTTGGTCATCTTGGTAGGTATAGGAGTGTTCCTTGGGATCACAACGCACATTCTTTCCCCTCTCAGCTCTGTACCAAGTGACAGGGGAGTGACATCCAATAGCATCAACTCCTTTACCATCTTCGTAGTAGTGTGACCACATAACTTCGCAGCCATAACTGCCGCCCCATAAGCTACAGCTTCATCAGGGTTGATGTTCTTGCATAGCTCCTTCCCATCAAAAAACTCCTGTAACATACTTTGGATCTTTTGTATCCTAGTTGATCCTCTCCAACAAGAATTACCTCCTCTACACTTCTTTTCTTCATATTAGCATCCACTAAACATGTCTCCACTTGCTTGATACATTCCACAAAGAAACTCATATTAAGCTCCTCAAATTTGGCACGAGTAATCTTCAAAGAAAAGTCAATACCATCCAGCAGCACTTCGAGTTCAATTGAAACTTGAGTATCATATGAAAGAATTCTCTTTGCTTTCTCACACGCAACTTTCAACCTTGCTAGTGATCTTTCATTTCCTCTCAAATCCTTGTTCCATTTCTTCTAAAAATCCTCAATACAATAATTTACCATTCGGTTGTCAAAATCTTCACCTCCCAAATGAGTGTCACCAGCAACAGCCTTAACCTCAAGTTTACCCACTCCATCAATGGTGAGAAGAGAGACATCAAAAGTACCACCAGCAAGATCAAAGATAAGTACATTCTTCTTTCCACCGAACCTATTGTCTACACCATAAGCTATTGCAGCTGCTGTTGGCTCATTGATCATGCGTACCACATTTAAGCCAGCAATAGTAGCAGCATCTTTGGTTGCTTGACGCTGACAATCATTGAAATAAGCCGGGACAGTGACGACAGCATTTTTCACTGTGCCACCAATATACGCCTCTGCAATCTCTTTCATCTTGGCTAGAACCATTGATGAAATTTCCTCCGTAGAAAATTGTTGTTCATGACCTTTGTGAGTAACAACAACTTTTGGCATGCCGCTAGGCCCTTCTATGACTCTAAATGGCATTAGCTTTATGTCTTCTTGCACCATGACATCACTAAACCTCCTTCCAATCAACCTCTTTGCATCTAAAAGTCCATAACTTAACCATATCAGCCATGCAATAAAAGTGTGTGAAAAACATAGAAGTATTAAATCATATATAGAATGTTGAAACTTACTGAATACTGTATTAGCAGGGTTCCTCGCAATTTGATTCTTGGCACCATCACCAACCAGACGTTGAGAATCAGTGAAAGCAACACAAGATGGCGTCGTTCGATTTCCTTGGTCATTGGTTATGATCTCTATTCTGTTGTTTTTCCATACAGCAACACAAGAGTATGTCGTGCCCAAGTCAATGCCAATTGCTGGTGCTCCACCTTCCCAACTCGCCATTACTCTACAGGTTCTAACAGAAACAAGCAATAAGGCAATAATGAACGCTCACGAAACAACGCAATGAGTTTATGATGTTCGCTCACGATTGTCTTTATAGCATTCATCGTAGCCATTAGGAATATGTATCGTTTTGTGAATTTTAATTACTCTGAACATAGTGTGAGTTTTTGGTAAAAATAGGGTGGTTTTGAAATTGGTTGGTAGAAATAGGGCAGTTTTTGTTTTGTAGAAATGGGTCTATTTGTTTGGGCCCCACAGGTTGATTCGTCCGTTTCTTATTTTAAAATTGAACAAACTTTTAAATGTTACATTTTAGTCCTTTAACTTACATCATTATTTTGTGTTAGTTTTTATTAACAAAAATTTTAGTTTTTACTCCTATTATTAAAAATATATAATTAAATTCTAATTAATATTTTGAATAACTTATAGGGTTAATATAGAACTTATAAATACATATGAATAAATTTCAATATTTAATATATTACATTTATTTGATCGATTTTTTTACAATTAATAAATATATGAATATTTTTGTTATTTTTTGAAAACTCCGAAATATCTATTCATGATAGCATACCTGCAAAAGCCTGTTAAAAGTCATTTTCACTGTTCATGAAAACTCAAAGAAAGCAAATGACTGAATTGTCTAATCAATTCATTTTTTGTATTATAAATTTCTCTTTTTATCATTAGCTTTTTTCATCCATTTCAACATATAGAATTCTTCTCTTCTTCATTTCTTTATCCTTCCTTCATTTGAGGTACGTCTTTTTATTTTACGATTTGTTGGTATTGTTATATTTTGGTGTATTTATCAGTATGAGTCTAGATCATCCGTTTATGATTAATTTGTACTGGGGTGGTAATATTGTATATGAAAATGGTTTCGTAAAGGGTGATCATTCAACTTTGACCACTTCAAATGTTGTTAGGCATAAACTGCAGTATGAAGAATTTAAGGATTTAGTTTATGCACACGTTGGAGTCGAAAAAACAACATATAAGTCGAAAAAAGCTACAAGAATGGAAAGAGCCATTAGCATACCATCGATTTTGTCTTCGACACATTAGAAGTAATTTCATGAAAATGTACAAGAACTTTAGTCTTAAAAAATTATGTTGGAATATTGGGAGCACCACACAGAAAAGGAAGTTTGTTACAAATATGAGAGAAGTCAAAAAACTTAAACTTAAAGCTTGGCAGTATTTAAAACAAATCAATAAAAGTCAGTGGTGTCTTTTATATGATGAAAATCGTAGATGGGGTATATTGACAACAAATATCTCTGAGAGTATGAACAATGCGTTGCGGGGAGCAAGACATCTACCGATTAGGGCGTGTATTGACCTTACATTCAACAGAACCGTGCAACTTTTTAGAAAGCATAGTAATGTTGCAATGAATTGCAATACATCTCTACCATCACGTATGTGGCGACTATTTTGTAACCGGGACACTCGTGCACAAAGCCATAATTTAACCGAGTTCGATCACAATGGAGGTGTTTACAGAATTGTTACAAAGTTACGGATAAATGGAACCGGAGGAAATACGCATACTGTCCATTATTTTCAACAAACATGCACATGTGGAAAATGGCAAATGGAAAGATTACCGTGTTCTCATGCTCTTTCAGTTTGTCGGTATAGAGGGGATAACCCTCTTTCTATTGTGAATAATGCATACACTACAATGACGTATAAACATCAGTATAATTTTGCTTTTGTACCACTTTCTGACGTTGATTATTAGTTAGAGTCAGATTGGAAGATTCAAGCAGATTACTCGAAACTCTCTGTTCATCAAGGTCGGAGACGTTCAAACCGTTTTCGTAATGAGATGGACATTCGCCACCCCGACGAACCTCGCAAATGTGGACTATGCCACCAACCTGGTCATAATCGAAGAAATTGTTCAAATTCTCAACCAAGATACAATGCCATGTGAAGTTTGTACTTTTATTAATTTATGTTTAAATGTGTGCTTAATTTGTAATGTTGAAAAATGTTTATTTAGTAATGTAATGTCATATTTAAATGCTTTTGTAATTTCGTAAAAATATAATCTATTCAATATTGGTGTTTATTTCAAGGTGTTGAATAGATTTATTTAAAATGTAATTTCCTAAAAATAATATATGAACATATTTTTAAATAAAGTAATTAATGTATAATATATAATTTGAATAAAATAATTAATGTATAATATATAATAAGGTTGAAAGGTAGAGTTTTTAATAATAAAAGCTATATAAAAAACAATGATATAAGATAAGGGACTAAAAATGTAAAATCTGAAATTTGATTAATACTAAAGTCGATAAACCAGGTGGGGTCCCAAGCAAAAAGACCTATTTTTACAAAGAAAAAAAATACTACCCTATTTCTACCAATCAATTTCAAAAACCACCCTATTTTTACCAAAAAGTCAACATAATGTACCCTTTTATCTTATATGATCATGATGCAAGGATTCTAAGAGATTGTGTCTTTTGGATTCCCAACGAATAAAGTGGAAAATTTCTTTAAACACTTCCGATTATCCTGTGTCTTATGCTTCAAATAAAGTGCGTGCGTTCAATGACATAAATTTACAGTGTGCTACATAATGCGCGGTTGTTTTGTTATCATATCTGTTTTTCATCATAAATCAATTATTCATTTTTTTATTTAAATTTCCAAAAACTACTACTATAATTAGGTCATGGGTATGGTTGCAAGTAGTGACGAGGGTTTGATCTGAAAACCCGAACCGAAACCGAAACCCGATAAGGATACATGGCAATTGTGGCATATGTACCACATGACCGTCCACACCTTCCCTGTCACCACGGATTGCATCAAAATAGTGGCATTACTGTAACACCCGGATTTTCAGGTATATTATTTTTAATTAATTATTTATTTTGAGAGTCTTTGATCTACTCGACGAGTTGGTGCGATAATGAACTACTCGACGAGTCCAAGAATAGACTCGCCGAGTAGGAGCGGGGTGGCCACGTGAGTTTAATGAACTACTCGACGAGTCCAAGAGTAGACTCGCCGAGTAGGCGTTGTAAGTGGAAAGCCTAAATCCCCGGGCCTGCACCCTATTTAAAGGACCTTATGGCCCTTATTTGCGGCTACCTTCGTCCTTGAGAGTACCAGAGCATCTGTGAGTCTTGTGAGTGAGAAAGGAGGCCATTGTTCACCATTTCTTGTGTGTTTTAGCAAGAAGGAAGGAGGAAGGACAAGCTAGACGGGTTGGGGAGCTTGGATCTACTTCCATTTGATCAGAGGAAGCTGTTAGAGGTATCAATCTGTGCTTATTCTCGTATTTTTGATGATTTAGTTGAACCTAGGGTTTCTTTATGCATTATTTTAGCTTGAATCTGGAGTGTGTGAGGTCCCAAGGTGAAATGATTCTTAGATCTGGACCTTAAGAAGTCCAGAGAGCCCATATCACTCTGCTTTATGCCATTCCTTTGAAGTTATGAGCCTAGGTGGCCATTTTAGTAGTTATTTCACCAAAAGAAGCCTTGGGTGCGTTGCATGTGAATCAAGATTCGACCTTTACGTGGTTATTGGTCGTGGGAAGGTCAGATCTATAGTTTAGAGAAACAGATCTGAACTCAGAAGGTCATTTGAGGGTTGTCATGGGAGCAACTCGCCGAGTGCATAAGTGGACTCGACGAGTCGAGTTGGGGTTGCCTCGCGATTCGTTGCAGAGAAACCCGACGAGTGGAGGAGGGACTCGACGTGCCAAGTGAGGCTTATAAGGATTCAGAGGACCCGCGTGGACTAGCCGAGTCGCCCGGATGCACTCGACGAGTCTGGTCAAAGTTTGACCGTTGACTA